ATATATATATATATATATATATATATATATATATATATATATATATATATGTTAGAAGGAGGAGGAAAAGATACATTAATTCCTCACCTTGTAACTGGGCTCGTGTAACATTATTTAGGGAAGACATGGCACATGCCATGGGTCGATGTACAGGGAAAGGACTCGTTAGCTAGAGAACTCCTCTAAGAGTTTATACCTTCTTACCTTTCCCCTGAAGGCCTGCCTTGCCCTACGAGAGCCCGGAGAGAGCTCTCCGGATCGACTCCGGTCGGTGACATCCGAAGCAGATCGGTTCAACAGCTTGGGTCTCTTGATAGGCTTGTGGAGCTGCGATGAGAAGACTCGATGATGAAGCTCGACTCCTCCTGACCCACTGCTGCCGTTGCCGACATCAATGTTGGTGGAAGAAGAGACTGAGGTGTTGGGATCCTTGACGGCTTCTTTTGCAAGAGATTTGGCTCCTTCCTCCCTCAGGCACCAATTGCATGCTCCGTAGGATTGGGCTTTTGGGTAGAGATCGCTGCAATACCTGACCAAAACGTTACGGATTAGCCGTGCATGGGGATACTGTGCCTCACCCACTCCATTCATTGTAATTGATGTTCCTTGTACCGATGCTCGTCCTATGTTTGATGGGAAAGTTAATATCTGATGTTTTGGTACGTAGTCATAACAGAAACTGCATACTAATAAATGTTCAGTGGATGCAAGGAATGGAGAAAAATATTGATCGAGATCAAGCATGTGGGAATGCCTCTCAGTGGATTAACCTATCATATATGCTTGATGGATCGAATGAATCGGATGAACAGATGGTTTTCATTGAATATATCGAGAGAGAGAGAGAGAGAGAGAGAGAGAGAGAGAGAGATCAGTTCCTGAGCAGGCACCATAAACATGGGAACAACCATTGTTGGACATAAGAGTTGGAATTGTTTCCTTATCTTGACGGGATCTGATGATGGATTGATGAGATAACACCTTGGTGGAATAACTAGTGTTTCCCTCAAGAAGAAAGAAAGACAAGGCATAGATTGAAGGGAATAAGATTCACCACCGTTCATGAGTTCGATTTGATATGCAGATGGTTCTGAATGGCTTTAAATTCACATATATACGAAGAGGGCATAAAGGCAAAACCAGACTGATGGGGGTATCATAGATATGATGAACACAGTCTGTATGGGGATCCCTTTTCTGTGGTTACAGATGCATAAACAAGTCTGGATAATACTACAGCACGAGCGAGAGATGAGAAGGGGAGGATGACCTACTTGTGCTGACACCGGACAAGGCAGACCTTGCACCGGAAGAGCTCCTGCGCCAACCCGTGATCGCCGCACATGCAACAGACCACCGATGGTGGTGGCGCGACTCCTCCTTTGCTCCCCATCCCACCCACCGAAGGAGAAGAAAAGGCTCGGAATCTGATCTGATTGCCGCTCTCTTCCTTTCCGTTCACTGGCGAGAGAGAGAGAGAGAGAGAGAGAGAGAGATGGATGGGAAGGAGGAGAGGAAAGACAGGCAGTTTTGGAAGGATGTTGAGCGGAAAAGAGAAGGAAAGCGATGGATGGGGTTAGGCAATGGTTCATGGGGCCTTCAAGAGGTGGGAAAATGTGGGCAACTTGATGGGCAGTTTGCATGAGAAGCATAGCAAAAAGACTAATAGGCTGCTGTGCGAGTCAGACTAAGAGGGCTTGGTGGACTCGCAAGCCATTGCTGAAACCCATGGCATAGACTGATCACAAGTCAATAGTAATACTATCCTTTGTGGAAGAAAGCGTAGACTTTGGAATGGTTCTGATGAGTTTCTTGTTGACTTTGCTGGAAACCATGCCATCGTCGGTATACCGATCGCAAAGTCAACTGATGAAAGATCAGGTCTTTGTGGATGGAGTGCGTAGGCTGCAAGGACCGTGGAGTAGTTCTCATGTCTTTCTTGCTGACCAGGCCTCACTCATCACATCCTCACCTTCGTGTTTCTTCCTTGCACCATAATCTATTCGCTTGGAACCAAAAGTCAAAAATATCTCGGACTGAGAGATAAGCTGCAGACTCTGAGGTTGCATCTTACAAGGTTAAGATAGATTGAGAGATCTAAAAGAATAATCTTATTAGAAAGCCATAGTACAGTGAAGTGGGCGGTTATTATGTTGGTGATGAGAAACAAAATAAAAGGTTTCCTAAGGAAGCTTCGTGCAGTGTGCTTGCTTCAAACGAGATGAGAGCTAATCCAAGCAGTCTCCAAGGGTGGTTGGTGCAGCAATCAGGTCAAGAACAGAGTGAATACTTTTGTTGTCAGTTCTCAACATCAAGTTTTTTCTGAAGCCATCGAATATTTCCACGGTGCTGTTTCTGTTGATCTCGGAGCCCAACAGGAGAGAACCTTGAGAACAATAGTCCTTTTGTCTCAGAAGAAGAAAGATTCTTTGAAAGTTGGCACAGAGCAGCTCGGTCAATTCAAGTATATACTCAATCAAACAGAACAGCTGAAACAACAGGTGCAAGATGAGGAAGATTAGAATCAATGTAAGACGTGCCAAGAAAGAGAGAGAATCAGTTCCATGCCCATCCACAAAGATCAGATCATATGTCGAAATTTAATACAATAGAGACTGCTCTACACTCTTTTCTGATGATATATTCAAATAAAACAGACTCTTTTCTGATGATATATTCAATACAAGTAACTCCACAAGCCTCCACACTGATTGCTTGATTGGTACACTTGAAGGCCAACACATTTATGACATCCAGGGGTTAAGCAATAGAGACGGATCACATGCATCGATCTTGTGTCACAAAAGCTCAACCGATGACTATTCAACCTCCTTAAGCCAGAACGCGACGGCAAAAGAGGGCATGAATACTTGCAATCTCGATACAAAGGCTCATGGGTCCATGATATCCAGGCTCATTGATGAGAATGAGCAAGCAGCAACTGTCGAAATCTTCACGGCACACACATGATCTGAAGTGAACAAGCATCCAGAAACTTTGTCCTCTGACAACCACACCAAATCTGAAGCAGGAAATCCGAGAAGAAAGAAACTACCACTCGTGAGAAGAGAAACAAGAAATGGGCTACAGCCTCATCCTATTATCAAGCTTAAGGAGGTCCTATCTTCAAAATATTTAAGCATGACCTTCTAAAAAGCTACTGATGAAGAAACTTGCCCCTCCGTACTATCCATGTCAATAAAGATACATCCTTTCTATCCAGTCTCCAGGAAATAACTAAAGTTACACAGTGTAGCCAGATTTCATTTTTCTCCACACTGCTAATCCCCTTTCCAAAGAAAACAACCAACAAAGAAACTGGCAATCATCATCCAGTGTAATAGGCTTGTCAAAACCTGCCTCTCTCTTCAGAAACCCATGTCCCTTTCGGTCAAAAGAAGCTGCCCAGTGACCACCTTTGCATCAATTTGCAATCCTCTCTCCTTCAGACAAACTCACGTATACTACAGGATAGCCACTGCTCTTTATTGACCAATCATATCCCACCTTTCCCCACCATCAAAGCTCAAAAAACGACCACGGCTGTGACTCCAGGATACTAATTCTCACCTTCAGTCATTGGTTGTGTGTGGAGAGAGCCCACTTGCTACTTCCTTTATTCCTTTACCAACACCTTAGGGAAAGGCAGCTCACAAAATTGTCACTGCTGCAAACACAACTCTCTAATACTTTATATATATGGAAATTGAGTAGCTATTGACGAGTAACATCCAAAGATTTGGCCTTTAGCTCAAGCGACTTGAGATAGAGAATGACTTCATCAAGGATGGTTGCTGCATCCTTCCCCTTCCCACCAGGAATGATCCTTCTCAGTATGCCAACTGTTTCTCGAATGCTTGCCTTTTTGTGCCGCTTGTCACCTGCATTCTTATCATGATCCCCTCCTTTGACGGAGCTTGACTCGGCGACACCATCTTCCTCTTTGTTACTATGATCTATGGGGATGTCAGGGTGGTGAAAGGCTGCCGAGCTAGCAGTGTCCATAAGTGATGAATCAAATTCATCCACATCAACTCTCCTCCTCTTTGCCAGATGCATCGAACTAGTTACCTCAGATGAACTCTTCTCCATTGCCCCAACTGGGGAATGACATGTGTTGGCTTCTTCATCATCGTGATCGTCGTCAGAATCTGAGTACAATAGTGCATCGATTTCCTCTGGGTCTTCATGCATCACTTCACCTCCATGCCCATCAGAAACTGTTTCAGTGCTGCCCTGCAGACCAAACCCGGCGTTCATGGAATTAAAGCATGGAAAAGGGATGCCTGAAAAGCTGAACATGAAGATTGTTCCATCCCTTGACCGATCAAAGACCAAAAGTCTTTTCTCTGATCCATCAACATCTGAAGGCTTATGAGATGGGAATGGAGGTGAAATCAAAGCTGATCTCTGTTGAAAACATTTGTTACGATGGCCACGAGGTAAGGCTGTTGTTCTACTCATTGAGAAAATACAACCATGTGGATTAGTATATGTAGGAAACAACATCAGATTTGTGTTCTGAGACCCCATGACAGGCTGCTGAATGTTATTGGAATCATTCAAGTTAATAAGACTCTGTGGTGAATGCTGAAAATGGATTTCAGGAACAAAATCCCTCTCCATCAGAACAAAGTCCAATTTAATCACCTGAAAGCAAGTAATAGATGATTAATATCAATCCATGAGTTGATCAGACAAAATGTAGCAGAATCAACTTGCTTACCACAGGCAATTCTCAACTGTCAGATAATATTTACACAACAAAAACTACAAAATGAAAAGGTGAAATTCCCAATATTGTTGAAGATGAATCACAGAAGAGAAACTAATCTACGTAATGGGCTTCAGGAGATGACGGAAGTATTCAACCTGTTTTAGTTCAATACAATAGGTTGTTAGCGGACAATGAAAATATAGAAAGCCTGTAGTTATTTAAAAGTTTTACAGAAACACTTTTTGAGTCTCTTCTTTATTTCTTACCTGGCAATCCTGCAATGGTCGGAAACAAGCAATGACCCTAACAGTTACGGTGGTGCTACCTGCAATCCCATTTTCATGTTTCAAAGCTCGGAATCTCGTGCTTGTCACTGCTTGGCACACCATTACTACTGTGTTTTGTTCCAAAATCAAGCCAATTCACCGGAAACTCGATGAAGTCCAGGAAATCAAAAGTGGAAAGGAAGACAAATAGTCTTCAGAGAAGGCCAGCAAGATGACTGAATCTAGGAGGCAAGACACAGAAGAAATATACCCTTAATAGAAGCCTTCAGAGTATCAGCTGTGACTAAGCAAAGGGTGGATGAAAGTAGGAGGAGAGAACTAATTGCAGAGAGAACTAGTCACACAAGAACCCGACAATACAGGTTCAAGGAGATCACTTTCCGGTAGACATCAACCGAAAGACTCAACCGCCGCATACTGTTCTGAATCTTTAACTACAAGAACTTCAATTTCACACTTCCTTCGGTGGCTTGAGAATCCTGCAACACCACCCCCTCTCATTAGTGGAAGATAATTGCAGAGCTCCAAGAAAAGGCAAGGTTTCACACTTCCTCATCATGGAGTATACTAGAAACTGAGAAGAAAAAAATTTTGTAATACAATTGTTTTGAAATCAACCAAAATTTTCCCCAAAAGAATAACCGATAATACCAAGCAAATGAGAGCAGAAGATTGGTTTCGAAAACGGGATCAAGCAGGTTCTAGTGAATGGAGTTTTATCGACAGCCACAAGAGAACAAATAATTCGTGACTAATATCTCATAAAAAACTGCAACCGATTTCGATTTGAAGCAACACCTACAATTGATTTCGTTAGATAACGAAAAAGGAAAAACAAATCCGCAAACTCAGGGGAGATTTCAAAGATCTTGAGAAATCAACCAAGAAAGCTGAAGATATCCCAAAAACGAGATAAAAGACACGATCCTGAGCATCAAATCATTCGAATAACTGCTGACTCGAGAATCCAAAATAAATAAATGAAAAGCTTCGAATATGCATACTTACGACGGAAGAGCCCGATCGAGAACGCGATTTCTCAGAAGAACCGCAGATCTCCTCTCACCGTAGTGATCTATTGCCACGCGGGAACAAGGTGATGAGATCGAGGGAACGACCGGGGAGGAACCGCTTGTGTACGGGGGATCACGGGAGGAAGGGTGGGCTTTTATGGACCCGATAGGACAAATATACCCTTGTCAACTATGCAAATACCATAACTCTTCACTGGTACAAGACTGTAATTTTGGTGATATATTGAACTTAAGGCCTGCGGCGCGGTCAAATAGCCTGTTGACCAGAGGTGGGGCCGGTGACACTAATTTCCTACTTTACACTGCCATTTGGTCCTCACCAAATTGCCACGGTCTTGTTCTAATTTTCTTATTATTATTCTGATAGAGGGACTTTTGGCAGAAATTAAAGTGGATTTATAATTTTCTTTTTCCATGAATCTTAGAAATGCACTGATATTGGTTTTCTTGTCATTATGATCTTAATTAAAAAACAGAACTTGTTTGAATTTTATCATTGTGATCTTAATAAAAATAAGAATAGTATGCAGCATAAAAAACAACCTTTTATTCAAACAACTTGTTTGAATTTTGTTTCCTTTGATGATGAGGAGTTCATATGTCTTGTGCCTATGGCAGAAAACAAAGCATGTTTGTTAGCTATAGTAGTAATCCAAATAGTAAGAGAACACAACTTTTTACCAGTAGAAATTTGACTTCATCTGAATGCTGAGACTTAGACCAGGTCTTGCCACTCTGTTAAACCAGAAGGATGATGAAGAGGAAGTGCTCATTGCCCAAAAGTGGGTGCAGCAGCTTCAGCTCCATGAGCTTCCTGTTGCTTTCAGAAACTGCCCTACCTCTGTTGTGCACTGCATCAGGTTTCCACTATGTTTAGGTTAGAATGCAATTGTTAATGGAAGGGAAATCAACCATGGGGGCACTTGAAGTGTTAAGGATGACGGATGATGAGTGAGGATGGATGGATGGAGTTAAACCAATCTTGATATAGTGTCAGCAAAGACATATGGGTTCAGTTTTGACCTGTGATGGGCATATTTCTGTCTCATAGTGGATTCTGACACTATATCAAGATTGACTATGCCATATGTCCATGCTGAGGAGAACTTAAAATCTTCTTGTAATCACAGGAAGGGCAATCACTTTCTCTTGGTGCCAGCAACATATATATTATCTGTACAGTTAAAGGTGTGGAACATAAGTGACATCAATTTCATCAACTCTGCTGCTGCATTGAGGTTTGTAGCAATTCTTGACAGAAAAGCCAGGTGACAGTGCAATTTGTGGGGGATTTGATTCTGCAAGACCAAATAAAGGCAGTGCAACCTATTGAACAAACAAAGCAGATGGTCATGCAGGATGTGCATAGAAACAGATAAAAGAACACATGCTATGATCCCAAGACCTGCCAAAATTTAAGACTTGTGAGAGAAATTTACTTTCAAGTTGTTTAAGCTTCCCAGTACTCTCTTGTGTATGGAGTGGAGGGAACAAAGGAAATGGTAAGAGTCGAGAGAGTCCCCTCACTTGATGTCCAAGCATTTTGGTAGCACACAACTAGCCAATCTTTTTACATCAATGGATAGATTATATGATTCCATATTCAAGAACATTGTCCATCATCATTGCAGACATGTGCGATAGACAAGATTGACATACACTAAAAAGATGATTGTGGATGATCACCATGATCAGAATGTGTGGGTGTTCATCTGTATCATTTCAACTTTTTTGAAATAAATGATAGCTATGTCTATTTTATGCTTTTCCTAAAAAATTTAAATGGGTGCTCCAAAATCAACCAAGTCAAGTCCACTCACAACAGTCTCCTGCAATGAGAGTATACCTTGTGCAACAGTGCCTTTGACTTCATTTTTGTCCATGGAATTCCAGTCTGACTCCATATTTGCCTTCTCACTACTGCCTCCCAGGTTTGAGCTGAACCATCATTGCCCTGAGATTCCTCTGGGGTACTTCAGTTGGAGAATTGATTTGTTATGTCATGATCCAAATCAAATAACAATGATTAATATTTGTCAAACTAGAAGCATTTGAAGACCTAATTATGTTTGCTTGTTTATGGAAGAGTCATTGATCTGAATTTTAACTAAATAATTCAGAACAAAGTGCTTGTTTGACAATTACTATTTTGCATGGTATGAATGCCACACTGAATATATTGTTGACAACTAAAACCATTATCTCCTTGTCTGTGAAAGAATCATCAGTGTGAATTAATTAATTATAACAAGAATGAGAATTATAAATTATAACAATAAGAATTCAAATTGTAGTGCCTTGTAGTTGACTCATCTCAATCAGGTTACTGAAGTTAAAGTTTGCAAAGAACTTTCAAGGCATTACTTTTTCCCTATGTAGTGGAAGACTCATGATGGATGAGACTTAAAAGAGGGGACCTGCAATAAGCACTCAAGAATACTTCAAGAAAGCATTACAGCCATTTGGTCATATGAATTCTCTAATGGAGACACCACACTTGGAAAGCCACCCACCACCTCCCACCTCCACCATGAATGCCCCCCTCACTACCATAAGAAAGATGAAAGGATTCAGTGTGTTATGAACTCCAAAAAGAGCTTTTAAAAGGTAAAGAGCAGAATCCATGCTCCAAAGCGCAATGTCTGGAAATGCAACCCCACCAACTCCATTGACCTTGAAACTTCACCTCCTGCGCCCAATCAAGCCACTACCATTATATAAACTAACCTATCCCAAAAGTGTCAACTTCCGAAATCCTTGTCCAGTTCTTTTTCCTCCTATATATATATATATATATATGTATATATAAACATCACACACACATGCAGGTTGTTCAAGTAATCCAGTGCACGCCTAGGTGTCTTTAATGCTTATCTGATTTGCAGAAACAATTCATGTATGCTCATGAATAAAAAGCAGGGAGGCAAACTATGAAGGTGTTTGCTGTGAATCTAATAGGAAACAACAATGAACCATTTATAAAATGGATTACCTGTGGTTGGCAATGAAGGTGATCTTTGTTGGCCTGCAAATGGCAGTGTTACAACAGTGGGGCTGTTGATTAGGAGATGACAAGTTGACCACAGATTGCTGCTAATTGGGCACCAACTTGTGCTTCTACTCACAAGACTCTCCACAACTAAACTTATCCAAGCAAAGCCTTGTTAGTTTCAGTATTCTGCAATGCCTATGGATTCAGAGTTTGATGGAATGCATCCAATAGAATCAGTGAACAAAAGCAGTTGTATGTAAGTTCTAGTTGAAACTTACTGACATAACCACCTTAATTGTCTCAACATGGTATCCACATGACATTAGACAAACAACTGAAGCCACCTCTACTTCCATCTTGGAAGAAGATTCAATTGATATTGACTTGTAACATGAAACAAATTAATCAAAATATCATTCAGCAGTGACAGTTCTATCATACAATTTTTATCGCAAATACGCATTTGTTTTGTTAACATCAAAATAAACATCTAGGGATATTATCGCAAGCCTTTTTAGATTTTCAATATGATTCACATGCAAGTCTTTCTTCTTTTCTATTTTTAGTTAATTATTTCATAAAGTATATATTTTTTACAGTTGTACTCATTTTTAAATTTTCCACTAATTTAAACAACATTGAATGTTTTGTTAACAATGACACAAGTTTTTTAGTTCTAAACAATAAAAGAATAATTCCACATTCCACAATAGGTCTAAACTCTATAAACACTAACAACATGACTATATATATCAAGGTCTATATTCTCATGAAATAGTATCAACATCAGCACACATCTTCTTACAAAGTCAATACTATCAATCCATTATTCCATTTCTTTTCAATTATGCTTCATCATTTCGGGTACCCTATACAACCTCCATCATACAAAGTACAAACTAGTATGAAGGACTCATAACAAAGGAGCAGGAACTTGGTATATGAGCTGCCACCACCAGGGCCCTTCCATGGTAGATGTGACAAAGCACGGTCAAAATAATCATCAGCAAAATGCAAGAGATGTTTATTTCTAGTTCTAGATTAATAGTTTGGATAATGATTTTCTTTAATCAAACATAAAGGTTTTAACTCTCCAGGAAATATCTCCTGGTAAAATGAAAGGAAAACAAGCAAATCATCAACAATAATAACCAAGAATATTTACATTTCCAAGAACAACTGAGGACCAGCTGTATCTTGACAAACAATCAACGTTTTATGTACAAGAGGTAGCAATCTGAATCAGCATCCAATTCTATCCGTACATACGACCATGCTAAAAAGTAAACACAATTGTAGGAAAGTGGGTTTTTCAAGTCACCAATCACAGTGCAGAATAATATTGTTAGCTCTCTTGATGTTTAGAGAGCTGTTGTTTCCTAGCTGGGAGCATTCGAAGCACGATGTGTCAGGTATTGCTTCCACGTCAACAGCCACCTCATTTGGTTTCAAATCCACCAATTAAGTGGAGTCCTTATAATAACTTTGATACGACACGACAAGAGGACCAAAAGGCTACAGAGGCTGCCTTAAGTATTGCTGGATTTTGGTAAATCCTGAAAGGTGGCAAGGATAATAGCAATTACATAAAGGAAAAAAAAATTAAGACGATGCAACATATACTTGATGCAAATCAACTCAAGAAACAGGTCAATGAAACATCAACTTGATAATTTTGCTGAAATTGTGGTAAGATTTTAACCAAAAAACATAACACCTAGAAACTATTTGCATACAAAACCACAATCTCTTTGGGCTAAGAAAATAGTCTTGTCAAGTCTCTGTACGTGATTAAATATCAATTAGTCTATATGAAGATAGGTAAAGGATTCCAGTGATTGTGCTTCTAGAGCCCATAATAAGTGTGAATATAACTAGACAACAGAAATTAATATTTGGAAATATGCAGTAAAAGAATAAAATGGCTGGTAGTCAGAATAAGCTAAGATGTTTGCTGATATCCCTTAAAAAATATGCAGTAAAGGATTAAAATGGCTAGTGGACAGAATTGGCTAAGATGCCTGTTGATATCCCCAAAAATAGCCAGCATCTCTAAAGCTAATGGCATAACTTTTTTAAGAAAGCTCTTATCAAATGATCATGAACTGTTCTAGAGAAAGTGACAAAGATATTGTAACTGTTACACAAGAGGTGCTCAGTGCATGAGGCTACAATGTCTTACCCCTGCAAACAAAAATGTTACTTCCACAACTCCACATCCTTGATAACCATCTCACAAAAGGAATTAACCATACCCAGTCATAGTTTTGTTATATATCAATAGTATTTCTTTCTGAAATTGAAAACAACATAAGCTTAAAGATAAGAGCATATGTTTGTGGACTACTACATTCATTTTATGAAAGTGGCAGACAATCAAGGAAAATGCATTAACTTCCGTGGAAAAGAACAAGTTTTTGCCGACTCTAGGATCCACAGTGTCACAAGCAAGATTATTAAGAAACCTTAAACCCTTATCAACATATTGTTATCAATGAAGTGACATAAATATTTAAATTGCTATCGAAGAAAGCGGAGACTTACCCAATAGCAGTAGCACCCCAAGAAGCAATGTTGTAAATAACTTGGCTTCCCTCCCATGCCTTTCGGAGCCTGCTCTTCTTCTTCTTTACAGAAAATGTTTTGCAAAGGGCTAAAGATCACAAAAGCAGGCAGCATACATCATAAGCAATGGTTTATACTCTGCAGTAGTTCTTACAAATCAAGGAGTACATTTCAAACAGCTCACCTTCTTGAAGCTGATTGGGTGTTAATTCCTGCAGAATAAAATGCTATCAGTGAGTAAACAGACAAATAGGCTTACTAACTAGAAAAAGATAAATGGGTTGAGGAACAGAACCAACTAAAACCTTTCCAAGCAAATTGAATCCTGTTAATAGACACTGTATAATATTCATATATGCACAACGAAATCTCCAGTTACACGACACATATTAGCTTCTTACTAATCTGTTTCTGCTACAATTATGAAAATATCTTGGCCACAGCAACTTTGGCACATCTCGAAGCAATTTATTTAATCTATGCAATTGAGCATGCATACAAGAAAAGTGGTTTTGTGCCTAACTGAGTATGCAGCACACAAGCATTCTCCACATATGAAGTCTCCATTATTGGCCTACTAGGAGATAAATAAAGAACTCCAAATGCAGAAAAAAGCAAAAATTGACAATTATACATGCATGACAAAGAACATATTGCCATCACAACAAGAATCTTGACATACTTTAGTTTGCTTTAGTGATAATAGGTAAGCAGCCATGAAGCATGCTATGCCATCCACAATATCCTCTTGATTAACAAGAACATAATCATCTTGGTCTGGGACACTCCCCCCATCAACATGCTTATCTTCCCACAAATCTGTGGCAGTAACCATGTCCCAAGATGCATTATCATCTGCAACCAAGAGAATATATTAGTTAATGTCATTCATGTGTATTGGCACAATAAAATGAATGTTTATAGATGAAAAAAAAAGTTTTCAATCAGTAGAATGTGCATACTTATAAGGTAAATTTTATTTAAGATGCAAGGAGATCTGTACAAGTTAGCACACCATAATTATTTTGATAAATAGATGTCTGGATGCTTCCAAGCTTTTCAAGAAAGTCAGGCGATTCAACTTTTGCCTTGAGAAGGGAACATAGCTGCACAAGAGGAGGTAGCAAAGATTATACACGTCAATTTATTATCGAATAAGATGCTACTGGGAAGTCAAGGCACAGTTATATACCAGCAACTTGTCCATTTTTATTTATATAAAACATTATAAGCAACAATCCTCCTTGTGCAATTTGTACAGGAAACTCACCTCGGAAACTGTACATGAGTACATTATTCGTCCATGAAAATTTTTGATCACTAGGCCAAAAAAATGGATGTTCTTGGCAAATGCAAGGATTTCTATAAACTAACATAAATAAATGAAGCTGCTGAAACTTCAAAATCAAATTTTAATTCACACGTATTTGGCAATACACTGTAAAGAAGTCACCTGATTCCACAAAAACAAACTATGTAATACTTACATCACTCCACTCTTAAACACAAAGTTGGTTGGTCGCCACTAACGCTTTATGTGGAGGTTATTTCTAAAGTTTGGAAACAATCATAATAAATATTACATGCACTTCCTCAACAAAGATAATGAAACATTAAAAAACTGTCCTGATAGGAAGACATACAACACATCAACACATATTACAGAAAAATGAGTCTCATTTCATTGACATTCAGCTCGCCGCTGAGAGCTACCTTCCAACTATGCAACTGATTACTGCTGATACTGATACTACCTAGCAACTCATAGACACAGTATACTACAAAGTGTGGCAAGCAAAGCATGTACTGGAAAATGGACAGTATACAAAGCCTTATTGTCATAGTAGGATAGTTGTTTCTATATCCCCTATTAAATGCAAAGTGTGTATCTACAAGTAAACAAAATCTTTTCATTTATTCTTATAGTGCAAAGGCTTATGGAAGGGAACATGAATGTAAATTACACGTTCATGTAACTTTAACACAATCTTTTCATGTAACTCCCCATGTAACTTTAACACATTCATGCCACTGTCATTGAATGTGAATTACACAATTTTTTTATTGTCAAATTACACTTTAACTTTCAAGTGTAAAAGAATCTCCATCTTAAACAAAGTCTGTCATGCCATGCACTGTTGCCTTCAGGTACAAGAATTGAGAACGTTTATATAACACAAAAAACAAAGATTACAACATCTGATATTTATATGTAATGCACTAAGCTACATTGAATCTATCAACTAAGATAAAAGGAGAAGTTTTTAGGTTGACTCATGTGATCTGTTTTAAAAGTTTAAGTGAACTCGGTTACATAAATACCCATAACTATCCCAATAAGTTCATCCTGATAATTATCAGAAGCACATTCTGTAACACTCTGTTTAGTCCCGCCAGTGA